TATACTCGCGTCTGCGCAAAGTGTTTGCCTGCAGCTGTGTTGTGAAAGAGTTAGCCTTGACCACGTGTTCGCGCAGGCGCAAATATATGCTCCTGGAGCTATATCCGTTTATGCGCGCGCCCAGTGGGAAATTTGCAACCGGCGCGGATCCTCGCCTGTACCGACGCCGGAGTAGTGGTACTGGCTGGGAACCGCCTGCCTACCGCCCGAGAACTGGTATTCTACCAAAAGATGACTTGGCCAGGAGCTGGCTGGCCATCCGTCTCGGAACTGGCATTCTACCGCCCGGTAACCGGCGCGAAGAGCCGTTCCGTGTATAATTCAACCGGCTGGGACCCGGCACTGTACCGACTGCGGATCTTTCATTTCCTAGCCAGATGTGCGCTGGCAATGCTGGCATTCTACCGACTGACAACCGGGTCGGATCCAAATGATAATTTCAACAAATATCAATACAAAAAATAATAATTAATTGCAAAAGATAAATACTGATAACAATTCATTGATAGTTCACTTTACACATTTTTTTATACACTTAACGGTATTTTTTTATATTCACATTTGAAAAATCCTAACGCTTGGGGGTACGAACCTACGCCTAACCGAATATTTACGCACCGAAATCTCGCACGTTAACCACTATGCTACGCTCGCATGGAACTCTTAAATCTTAAATGCTTTCAAGTCTTACTAGCTAAAATGAAAATTGTAAAATTACTACGCGGCAATAAACAATTTTCAAATACGGACTGATGTTATACCGGTATTTATGAATATTTTAATATTTCGTTTAAAAAAGAACTTGTTAAAATTGTTATTTTATTATTATATTTTTTAATATTTTATTACGTAATTATTAATAATTGAATGAAATTTGAATGCACAACACATTTTTTTAATTATTTAATTTGCAGAAAAGTGTCAATAAATAATTACTTAATATATTGTTTAAATTAAAAAGAGATTATTAATTAATTAACAATAAATAAATTAATCAATAATCTGTTTTTTATATATTTATTTAATGTGTTATTTATTGTAGGTATTATTATATATTGAACACATTTTCTTTCAAGTTAATATTATTATTTATTAAAAATTATTTATTTAATTGAACATTAATAAAGTTGGATTTTTATAAATATAATGAAAAAATTAAGTTTCTTATATTCTTCCTTTGCATCAATACAATTAATTTATTTATTGGTTAAATAATAATAATAATAATAATATTATTATAATAAATGCAATTATTTATTGTAATAATTAATTAGCTATGATATATATAATAAAATAAATTTATGATTATACTGATAATGTGAACTATAACAATATATGACGAGATCCGCAGTCGGATCCGCCCCAGCACCGAGCCAGTACAGACCTAACATCCGTCATTCTTCCGACGCCCTTAGAAGAATGAAATCCGAAGGCGGAACAAATCCAGTACCACGCCAGTACTGACGAAAGTAGAAAGGCGGATCCAAAATTCTGAGCCTAATCTGTTCCGCGCCGGTTGAATTTTGGGATCCGAATCGGTACAAAACATCGGTACTGGCGGTCCGCACGGGCGCGGATCCCAGGCGGTTGTAAACTCCGACATTCGTCCGACTTTTCCTCCTGGGCGGAGGCTTATATTTAAGGCTTACGGTGTAAACTCCTTCTTATTGTCCAACTATTCGGTAAAATTGCCAGTAATTATTTGTTTATCTTTATTTTCAGTGTTTTGAAGCATACTTTCAAATGAGTTATAAGTTTGTCATCTTTTGTTTCGATAATTTGATTAAAAAGTTTTCGTTGAATCGTGTTTCACATACTTTTTTGGAAATGTCTTTTTTTTGTTTTTTAGTTTTTATTTCAGAGAAATTAATCTTTTTTTTCTCCAAGAATTCGCAAACAAGAATTCAAAGAAAGAAAGGCATTTTCTTTATCAATCTTTTTAAATTCAATATTATTTTCTAATAAATTATTATTATTTTACCTCCAAAATTTTCAAAAAAAAAAATTTTTAATTTTTTTTAATAGTTTATCTAGAAACAAATCATTAGCCACTTTGAAAATAAAAATTTAATAATTAGAACTCAAGTTATAGCGTTTAAAAAAAAAGTTGCTTAAAATTAAAAGGTCACGTATCTCCGCCATTTTTAAAAATTTTGATAAAATACTTGGTGTTAATTTATGTTACTATAGTAGTATTATTTAAGCCAATTTATAGCCAAATAAACTTTACACCACTATAATCAACCAGAAAATAGGAAATACTGTACAAAAGTGACAAATTTTAGCCTGATTAAAACTTTGTTAGAAGCAAATATCTATTATAAGTCGGTTTAAAATGAATATTTTAAGGGATGAAGAGTTGTAGGTTCAAATCATTGTTGAAAGTTGGCTAAAAATTTTATCTTGGGAAGACTTACAAACTAGCAAGAAAATTTTTAGCCACTTCTGACAATGATTACTATTATTTTAAATAAAAACGTAATACTTCTAAAAAACATCTACTTTAAAAATTTTAGATTTAAAATATCAAAACTATGATAAATACCCTTGAAAAAATTTCAAGATATTTAACTTTTAGAAACAAAAAGGAAGAAAATTTTTCCAGAATGATTTTAGAGTCTCGCTTACTCATAGTTTGGAAAATTTTATTGAAATTACAATGAAAGTGGAAGAGGATATACGAAGAGTTAAAGGAAAATCGAACCCTCCCCCACTCACACTCCATCATATGCATTAAACACGTTCTCCGCACATTTTCCCCGACAGGCATCTCTTACTCTCTTCACAGTTTCACAGTAAGCACTTACAAGTTTGGCGCTTTCTATAAACTTTCTACCCTTTGAGTCGACTGATTCCTCCTTCTTTCTTTTTAAGCTACGGTCTACTGATAGAGAAACATCACTGAGAGAGGAAAAACCCTCTTCAAGCCGATAAAAACATGATACGCTTTTTTTTCTTCTTTTTGTTAAAGAAATTGCAAATCTACTTCAAATGCATTACTTCGTACATTTCAAATATCAAGTTGAAATCACTTGACTCGATGTTGGAGATTTTTATTGAAAAATAAATTTTACTATTTTTTTAAAATTAAATATTTTTAATAAGAAGAAAACATAATTCTCTTTATAATCACTATTTGTATAAATGCTTTAAAAAATTTGATGAATCGAAGATTTATACTATTTAGAATGATATAATACAAAATATAAATAACTAATAAAATATATTTTTAGCACATGTTCGAGTGTGTCTCGGATTGTTTTATTCAGTTTAACCGGTTCATGTTCGGTTTATTTTTTCGATGGAGTATCTTTGTTTATGTTATAGTGCTCTCCTGAGTTTATTATCTGTGACTTTTTTACTTGTGTTCTGCATTTGCTCATTGTAAACTTGCGTTTACCTTAATTACTACAAAAGCTTGATTTTTCTCTCCGTGTATCAAAAAAAGAAACTGCGGACACAGAAACTGAACAGTTCAATCACTGGCCAGAATCTAGAAAAGCTTTCCAGTGACTGGTCATTATAGAGTTGAAATGTCTACCTGGGATTACTAAAGAAGCTGATAAAAATTTTGCAAAGGAAACTAAAAACTCATCCAGTATGATTATATGCGATTTCAAAAAGTACTTTATACTTCAAAAACAGAAGTCAGTACTTTATACTATAAGCGCAAACTGTCCATCTACAATTTTACCGTATCTATGATGTAGATTACGAAGCATATTGCTATCTATGGACTGGAAACGACGTGAAGAAAGGTTCCAAGTAAAGTAGCTAGTTGCTTACTTAATTACATTGAAAAAAAAGTTTCTGTGGGCATTAAAGACTTTTTCTTGTGGTCGGATAACTGCGGTGGCCAATACAGAAACAAACATATATTTTCAATGTCCGTTTATGCTGCATCTAAATATAATATTACCATTAAACACTCCTTTTTAGAGGTTGGCCACATTTAGAGCGAAGGAGATTCTGTACATGCCACGATTAAAAGGCACGCAAAGGGACGAAAAATGTTCACTCTAAATGATTGGAGTAATATTATTGAATCAGCCAAACTTACAAAACCACAGTATAAAGTCATAAATGTGACTTTTTATATGATTTTTTATTTTAAGCAAAAACGAAATCTTTACCAATTTCAAAGTTGAAACAAATATTAGCATCTCATGAAAAACAGAACTAGCTGCTTTACAAAACTTCATTTGACTCAGATTTCGAAACTCTAGTGAAAAGAAAAGTCTCATGTAAATGCAAAATTAAAAGATTTCAAAATATTATGTAATAAGAATATAATTCCATTGCAATATCACAATTACATTAACTCTTTTTCAGAAAAAACACTGTAACCACCAATGAATATTCGAGTGGAGAAGAAGAGTTATTTAAGTTTCACCTGGGTTTTAAATGCCGTGAATCGACTGTCTGATAATTATAACATTTTCAATAATAGATAAGTATTTTGAAAAAATGTCGCCCTAAAAATCGACTTTTTGCTTCAAACAACTGCCAAATACACAAAAATTAATATTTTTAAAATATCCTACGTACTTAAAAGCAAAATCTATCACAGATTCAGAAAACATTTGAATTTTTGTTTTAGATTAAACGGTCTAACCAGAATCTTGACCACCGATTTTCTCTGCAAAGAAACGAGGCCAACTTCGGTGCCCTCTATAATCAACAAATTGAAACTTTTTTTACGTATAAATATATTTTCGTAAACTTAAAAGGTTAACAAATAAAGTCCTCAAAAACAAATTTTATTTACTTTATTTCAGTGTCTTAAAAAAATTCATTAAAAACAGGTTTAAAAGACATCTCAAAGGTGTCACTCCCCCTTAAGGTCGTGTTATTCAGTGTTAATCTTCTTACAGATTAATGTGGATAAATTTTCATTTAGAATGACAAATAATAATTATTTTCTAAGTCACAATCTTTTTGAAACAAAAATTTATTGTTTTCAATTTATGATTCACTTTACCAACTAATAAAAAAATTTCCTTCTTTTAATCTATAATTTTTTATTGGTCGACAGTACATAAAAATTAGAAATATTTTTAAAGTATAATATTCAAGGTGAACAGTAATAATGTTCCAACATTACGCAATATTTTTATACGTTGCATTATTTTCTTAGGACGTGGCATTCAGATTGAAACAAATAAAGTTAGCTGATTGTTCTTTTGTTTTAAATATACAAATAAGTTCGACGGCGAGACGGTAAGCATTTACTGCTATAAAAAAAATAATTAGGGGCCATCCATAAACTACGTTATCAATTTAGGGGGTGTTTCAAAAATCTGTAAAATTGCATTTAACGCAATGGTAACGAGGGGAGCGAGGGGCTCTAAGAAGTATGGACAATTAGTAACGTAGTTTATGGACAGCACTTTACTATATATTTAAATCATATTAGTTAACAGTGAACTGTCCATAAACTTTGAATAAAATTTTTTAGAATTACTTCAGATCTCAATTTTCTGAAATTTGGATTTTTAAATTTGACATATTGAATTCATAAATAGTCATTTTACTACTTTAGTCAGAAAATCGTACATAAAATTTCGATGGCTTGTTTGAAAGACAATTTAATTCGCATTTTATTGATTAGTTGCTGTATTAACTTTAAGGGGTTACGTACAGTTAGAGCTTCAAAAAAAGCTGTTTTTTAGGAATTTTTCGTGGCCACACATTAAAATAATTAATAACAAATCTTTTTCCACATAAAATATATATATTTCAAGAAAATTTTCTAAAATTATAGTCCATAAATATAAAGAAATATGCAAATTATAGAACATTTGCGTGAGCTCCTTAAATAAAAATGGTTTCGCGGTGATCACGCTATCTCTTGACTGGATTATCTAAAATCAAATCGTGAAGAAGAAACCGAAAATGATCGGTAAAGCCGTTTTCAAGCTACAGTGATCACCGACTCCCAAAACATGATTTTGAGAAAAACGAGTTCAAAGTTTTGAATACCGCCGCCTGGCCACAGTAACGGCTGAGACGGCTCCATTCAAAATTCTATATCTCCATAAATAATAGTCCGATTTGTCTCAAATTTTCAGAGAATACTTTTGAAATGGTATACATTTAGAAAATGCATTTAAAAAAAATCAATTTTTTAAAAATCCTAAGTGTACGTAACCCCTTAAAAAAATTTGCAAACTGGCCGGTTTGCCCCCACCCCCTGTGGTAAACCGGCCAGTCGAGTTTCTTATATACAATATTGCATTTGTATAATCTACAATAACAATAAACATAAAGAATCATGTGGACAATGGTTATAATAATGTAAATAATATTACAGGATTGAATTTAAATTAAGTAAATAATTTTTTTTAATAACAAAACAAAAATGTTTGAAATTATCAGGGAAACAATATTAAAGAGTATAATTCTCATTAGAAGATAATTATTTTTCATTAAAAGTAAATATTTTAATGAAAAAAACAGTCTAATTAATAATAATTTTCGTGAAACTCTGATACAATGAAAATATCTTATGGCCGGTTTGCCCCACAGGCCTATTTTGAGAATTAATATTTGTTTAAAAAACCGCTTTGCAAATTCATCAAAGTTTTTGGTGGTAAATATTCCTGAGTTGTATACCTTCAAAACCTAAGACCTAATATTTAGAAATATTACACGATTTTCTCAGAATTTCCTTGAGAAAAAATTCGTAAAAGTGTAGAAAAAAACTAAAAAAAAACTTTTGCTCCCAGCGTTGCACAAACAAAAGAAAAATTTGAAATTTCATTCGAACACTTTGTATTAATTTTCAAAAGAATAATTTTAAAATTTTTAAAAAATGAGTTTGAAAATTTAATAAGAAAATTTGTATTAAATTTAAAATGTGTGTTTTTATAAAATTGTGTATTAATTGCTTCAAACATTTTTGTATAAAATTTGGAACAAAAACTTTCAACAGTGTATCCAGAAACCCTAAAAATTCCCAAGTATCAAGTTTCAAGCAAATGCTCGAAATCTTAAAGAATATTTTTCATTTTCAAAAAATTAAAAAATTGCGTCCAATAGGGGAGAGTGGGGCAAGACGGGGTACTTAAGTTTTAAAGCGCAAAAAACGAAAATTATCGAATATATACTTTATTATTTTTTTTAATTATCATCTTTGAGACCCACCCATCTTGACCCACCGGCGGGCAAGATGGGGTACCCTAAGGGGTAAAATGGGGTACTCAAGAAAGCAATCTATTTCTGTCGACAAATTTCACAAGTAAAAGTTGCATCTTCATCTTCGTCATCGACACCAGCACAACTGCAGTGAACCCATTGGCCGCAGACAGAACAAGCAGTCCAGCCTTCATTTGAGTCTAAATAATAACCATTACAATAGATACAAGGTGTATTTTCCACTCTACCATCGCTAATTGATGATGTAACCTGACAAGCTTTTTTCTTTTTGGTCACTCTTATTTTATTCAGTCTTGATTTTAGTAGTTTTCTTAACTTCTTTTATTTCTCTTTTCTTTTGCTTAATTTGTGTACCCCGTCTTGCTCCACTCTCCCCTACCCCATCTTGCCCGCACCTACGAAATTGAAAAAAAAGATTAATTACTACAATTTATGATTCAACAAAGAAAAAAAACATGCTTTAATTCTTCTGTAACCCTTGACAGTTATAAAAAATTTAATATAGTTCATTAACTGTTATTATTAAATAATAAACACATCCTAAAAAAAGTGAAAAAATGACAAGAAAATCGTCGAAAACAGATTTTTAAAAAAACAGATAAAAGATTTGTTCTCATGGCTTTTAGGTTTTATAAACAAGAAACTATTGTCTCGGTGCAGTATTATGTAAAATATAATCGTGATTGGTTAATTCGTTTGTTAAGGTACTACTACACTTTAGAATTTAAAAAAATTTTATTTTTTTTATTGTATTTTTTAACTCCTTATGACTTCAGAAAACACCTCCTAAAGTATTTATAACCAATTGTAAAAAATAAAAGTCTGACATAAAAAAATGGTGGGGTTTCAATTTGCAAAAGAATTTTAGGTAATTTATGGATGGCCTCTAACGATACATATAAGTTTAAACGCGTTTTTCTCAAAATAACGTTTTCTCAAATTGCGGACAGTTTATCTCTGAATCTACTGAACCGATTTTAATAAATGATAACTTGTTTTGTTTGTTAGCATGTCCTGTGTGACAATTTACCAGAAAATGGTCAAAAAATTTAAAAAAAACATTTTTGCAGACTAGAAAAATACTGCAAAATCTGCTATTTTTTTATTTTAGTCGATTTTTCATTATTGGTGGAGGATTTCTATGCAAGACACCTTCCTTTTTAAAAAGCAATTTGGATTTTTTGTTTCCGATTTGTCAATCTTGAGATAAACTGTCCGCAATTGGACAACTAACTTTTTGGAGTTTCGATCTGAATGATGTCTGCAGATTATGATATTAAATAAAAATTAAAAACAAACCATTATTTTCATTCTCCAAATATCCTTTCTTAAATCCTTTCTTAAAAAAGACATGGAGTGGAAAGGTCGAATGTATCGAAAAGTATCGAAGTAAAGAATGGGCAATGAGAATGTAAAATCTTAATAGAAGGGTGTTTTTAAAATTGTTTGTACATGTGAAGGTGGCGCTGCAGTCGTATGTTATTTAAAAAGAGCGCGAATATATAAATTTTATTTTTGTTAAGAGAAAGTACTCATAATAAATCTTATTTTGCATTGTCAAAAAAAACGTCAACATTTCAAATATAAATAAGAAAATTATTAACTGAAAAAATTTGAATATTATTATTAATGAAATAATGAACTTGGACAATGGACATATAAAAACTAGCACCGTAGACGGCCGCTTGCGGCCGTCGGAGGAGCTAGTATACTAATATAGGCAAAAAAGTTTTTTAAATATTTGTAATAAAAGACCTAAGAATTTTTTTTTTAAATTTGGTCTTTTAAGAGCCTTCTAAAGTGTAGTAGTACCTTAAATAAGGCCGGTACCCCGTCTTGCCCCACTCTTCCCTATGGCGAATCTAAAAAATGAATACTTTTTTAAGGGGGCAGTCTGGGTTTTTTGCACGGATTTTGAATAATTTTTTTTTTCATAGTGAAATTTATTTAAACATTTTAAAATTTTTACATGTTATTACACATATATTAAACTAAATAAAAAAAATTTCTTTCTATATTTTTTGTTGTTAACCCTCACAGGCTCGAGCCGGGTCCCTTGGACCCGGAGGAAAGTTTCTTGATCTACTTCCGGTTAAGAAAATATTATTGGAAAATCAACTTCACATTAGGCTTGGGGACGTAAAAACACACATTTTTCACCAGTATAAACAATTTTTTATTTATAAAATACTCTGGTAAAATTACCTTGTGAGTGGAACATACGTAAAGGCTCAAGCCGGGTCCGAGGGAGCCGGGCTATGAAAAAGAATTTTTAAAGAGTGACGCTAAAAACACCTGTTTTTTAGCCCATTTTTCGGACCGCGAATTTTTCAATCAAACATATTCTAAAATGCGCCGTATAAAGGGATATTAATTTCATAACCATTTTGAGTGGAGCATATCCTTTGTTTTTTGGATATAGTGTTAAAATGGGGGTTTAGAGGGGTTAAAAGGGGTTAAAATACAAAAAATTAAATATGCTCAGATTCGCTGGAAACTGGTTACTCGGGGGTTTTTGGGGTCGCTGATTACGAATCCAATGTCAGTTTTTCAAAATTCAAAATGGCGGATCCAATATGGCGGACGACTTTTTCTAAAATTGCTCAGATTCGCTTGAAATTAATTACTCATTGGTTTTCGGGGTCGCTGATTACGAATCCAATATCAGTTTTTCAAAATTCAGAATGGCGGATCTAATATGGCGGACGACTTTTTAAAAAATTACATCTTATTGCTTGAAACTTGTTATTGAGGGGTTTTCGAGATCTCTGATTACGAATCCGATGTCAGTTTTTCATAATTCAAAATGGCAATAAGATGTGATTTTTAAAAAAGTCGTCCGCCATATTGGACCCGCCATGTTGAATTTTGAAAAACTGATATTAGATTCGTAACCAGCGACCCCGAAAACCCCTGAGTAATTTATTTCAAGCGAATCTGATCAATTTTAAAAAATTTGTCCGCCATATTAAATCCGCCATTTTGAATTTTGAAAAACTGACATTGGATTCGTAATCAGCGACCCCAAAAACTCCCGAGTAACCAGTTTCCAGCGAATTTGAGCATATTTAATTTTTTGTATTTTAACCCCTTTTAACCCCTCTAAACCCCCATTTTAACACTATATCCAAAAAACAAAGTATATGCTCCACTCAAAATGGTTATGAAATTAATATCCCTTTATACGGCGCATTTTAGAATATGTTTGATTTAAAAATTCGCGGTCCGAAAAATGGGCTAAATTTAGCGTCACTCTTTCCATTTTTTATGCAATATTGGATTTTTTTATGGTATTTTTATCAATAACTGCTATAATAAGTGCTCAGGCGGAAATTTTCGTAAACAGCCGTAGTTAACGTCCGATCCACTACTAATACACTGAGAGACCTTTGGGTCAGCAGCTGACTTTCGATAGGCTGCTACTGACCATTTTGGTGGTACGCTACAGGACTATACTTTTGGACTGCTGCGGTAAAATTTTGGGTGCGTGACAGACCAAAAATTAGTCAGCTACGGAACAATGGTGGGGGGCAATAGCTAACTATAGAGTTGGGACAGTGACAGAACAAACGTTTGGGAAAGCTGTGCCATACTGTCAAATATTAGTGAAAGAAAATAAAGTGAGCATTTTTCGATGGATTCGTTTGAAAGTTATGAAAGTAAGTACCAAAATAATAATTTAATATAATTATTTTTCTATAATAACATTAATTTTTCAAATGCACCTAATTATTTAATAATAATAATTATTATTACATATTTATAATTATAAGTAATAATAAGAATTATTATTAATATTAATAATTATATATTTCATTTTTTTATTATTAAATATTACATATTTAATTATGAATTTTAAAATTGTTTAAAAATCGGAATTTAATTAAATTTAAATATAATAATTATTATTAATATTATTATTCTATATTTTATTATTTTTATTAAATATTAAATATATAATTATGAATTTTAAAATTGTTTAAAAATCGGAATTTAATTAAATTTAAATATAAGAATTATTATTAATATTAATAATTATATATTTCATTTTTTTATTATTAAATATTACATATTTAATTATGAATTTTAAAATTGTTTAAAAATCGGATTTTAATCAAATTTAGAAATCGGTAAATTGAAATTGTAGATATTTAAAAATGTATTTTCGTTGTTCAGGTGATTGTTTTGAGGATAAATATTGTAATAATAACAAATCACCTCAAAATTCACACTTTTCCTCAGAATTAAATGTGGAAAAACAAATGTTTCGATCCAAAAGAAGTTTATACGACGATGGAAGAAGTGTGCAAAATAATAAACGTTTGTGCACACAGAATGAAAATTCAATCGAATGCACAGAATATGAAAGTATGTGACGTTAGCTGATATTTTTATTTTATTTTTATTATTTTTTATTTAATAGTATTATTCTTGTTTATATATTTTTTTCTTTTTAATTTTATTTCGAAAGAATAATAAAGCAAATAATTATTTATTTAATAAGCTAATTTTGTTTTAAGTATTGTAAATTAAACGGTTATTAAAAAAATGAAATAAATATTCGCTGTTAATAACAAAATACTATTTACAGATGTTTTGTTTGTAAATAATGAATTGTTTAGATTTTTAAACAAAGAAAATAATTTAGTAGGAAAAATGATCTTAGGAAAATATAAGTTAACGAAAGTTTTGGATTATATCAGACTTAAGGGCAGTTCCATACGAAAAGCAAATGGTGGATCACCGATTTTTCTTAAAGTTTGTAACTTTGTAGTACTTGGGGTACTAAAGAACTGTGCCAAACAGTTTTGCAAAAAAAAATTTTTTTTGCAAGATATTTAGATTTGAAAAATCGGAAACTGAAAAAAATGACTTTTTTTGAAAATTTTAATTTTGAAAACTGTTGATTCTACAAGAAAAAGTCATTTATTCAAAATTGTAGAAAAAATGTCAATTTTTTATAATATTAAAAAAAATAAGAAAAATTAATTTTTCAATAATTTGTTTAAACAATAATTTTTTATTGTTAAAAAAAGAGCAAAGGACATCATGGAATTTTCTAGAAAAATTATTTTCTCAAAATTTGAACCTTCCTTAATAAGTGGTTAAATTTTTAATGAAGTGATTTTTGATATTTTTGAGAAAAAATTTTTGAAGTTTGCGCTACGAGTTTTTGTGCGTTGCGCTAACTAAGCAGCGCCTATATCAGTGTATTTTAAAAGATGATTTGACCGTTACTGCTCGCCCCTAATACATTTATTAATTATATACGTATATATTATTATTATAAACAGTTTAACAATATATTTTTAACTTTTTTATAAACATTATTTTCCTTTTTTAACCCATTAATGGTCATGGGCACAGGAACGCATAATATAAAAAGTAACTATTGGGATCCTGGCATATGGTCTAATAATAATTTTTAACGTTAAAAATTTAAAAAAAAATTTTTTTGAACAATTTGTTATAAACAAATGAAGAAAAATTGATTTTCATAAAAAACTGATAGCGCTATTCCATTCGACGCAAAAAACTATTACGCGATCGTATATTTCATAATTTTTAAAAAAAGACATACTGTTGTAAAAATGTTATAAACAATTAGCCTGCATTTATACTGTATGAGATAGAAGGATCGTTTTTTAAGTTAAAAATTTTTTTAAACCAAATTAGTTTAATTAGGAGAGTTTTTGACGTTAACAATTTTTTAAACAAAATTTTTACCTAAAAAACGATTCTTCTACCTCATACAGTATAAATGCAGGCTAATTGTTTATAACATTTTTACAATAATATGTCTTTTTTTAAAAATTACCTGTGTTATATACGTTCTCGTAATAGTTTTTGCGTCGAATCGAATGGACCTATCAGTTTTTTATGAAAATCAATTTTTCTTCATTTGTTTATAACAAATTGTTCAAAAAAATTTTTTTTTTAATTTTTAACGTTAAAAATTATTATTAGACCATATGCCAGGATCCCAATAGTTACTTTTTAAACCTGCGTTTCTGTGCCCATGACCATTAATGGGTTAAAAAAGGAACTGCCCTTAAAGAAGTTATACTCGTTAATGAATTATTACAAGATCCGATAAATTTCAAGTAAGTTATGACTTCCTATACATAAAAAGATATGTATACAAAATTTTATAAATTTAAAATTTGAAACCAAAAATTATTATTTTTTTTTTGTTATATATGACAATGAAAAAAAATTTATTTTGATTCAAATAACCGATTACTTGACTATTATGAATTAAATATTTAATTAAATCAAATACTGAAATTATTAGTTCAAATACCATTTAATTAACTCCAATAAATATTATTTGATTCAAGTAAATATTTAATTGATAATAGTCAATCGGTTATTTTAATCAAATAATTTTTTTTACATTGTATAAATATTACATATTTATTGTTAATTATTGCCATTATTATATTTATTGATTTCTTTATTTTTTTTAATTATATATAGAATTGAACCATCGTGATTTGAAACTCTGACAGATCAAATTATTGAATTATTTCCGTCTGAGGAGAGGGATGTGTTTTACATTCCTTATTATAAAAGTCAAAAGGAAGTTGTTGGTCCACAGGGAAGCTTGTATAATGCGTATAAGTTTTTTAGAAACAATTTACGCAAAAGTGGTATATTAACAGGACGTAGTAAAGAATCTAATATCGGTTAGATGTTTTTTAATTAACTGTAGAAAAATATTTTTTATTGTTTTATTTATTTACATTTTTGTAATATTTATCTAGAAATGTACAATTCATTAAACTCTACACTTTCTATTTCAAACGAATGTTCTACAACTCAATCAATTCAAAATTGGGAAGATGATTTTGAAGAAAGACAAAAAAAATTAACATTATCGAAAAATAAAAAAGATCAGAAAGCTTCATTGCAAACATATCTGAATAGTTTTCCAAGCTTGAATGCTCCGCTTGTTGTCAGTTTGGTAATAATATTAATTTTTCTATAATTATGGATATTCTATGTTTCCGATGAATAAATGTAAGATTTATTGCTACAGAGATTTAAAATTATAATTATTTAAAAATTTTGTTTGCAGCTCCAGTCTGATTTCAAACGCATTATAAAAGCAGCATTTCCAACACAAAATCTTTCCACTAAATATACAACATTATTTTCTGCAAAGTGGCCTAAATGGGCTTCTAAAATAATTAAAATTTGCAGCAGTCTAAAAACAAGAGAGGTCAAGGAATTTTTTTTTGAAAACGAAAATTTACTTAATGAAGGTAAGAAATATAAGTACATTACTTTTATTTTTAGAATTAAAATTTAATTTAACTAAAATTTAATTAAATTAAAATTTTTTAATTAAAATTCAATTAATTAAAATTTAATTTAATTATTCAAGAAATTAAAATATTCAAACTTTGTCGTTTTACAGGCAAGCATGATGCAATTCTAGCACTGTTTTTACTGCCGTTATGCCTGACAGTTGTAAGAAATAAAAGGCAAGCAAGAAATCAATCTGTCTCTTTTTCGAAATATGACATTTCGAAAACATTTATATTACATATTGAGGTAATTTTTATGCATTATTTTATTCTATTTTATGAATATAAAATTACTATTTTTTTATTAAATGAAATAAAAAAGAATTTTTAATATTTATATGATCTAAATTCAATAATAATTATTTTTAAATTCTGAAACTTTATTCATTTAAATTTTTTAATTTTTATGTTAAATATTAATCATTGTATTATTAATTTATTTCAGGATGGCAAAAACTTATTGAGTGAGATTGAAAATTACGAATCTTGGCTTGAATGTCAGCAACAAGTTGTTTATCCTTACGTAGTTTTTTGTGGTAAAATAGACCAAATAAACCAAGCCTTAGTTGTTTTAAAAAAAAAACTTATTCTATTCCTGATCCATTGGAGGCGATTGAAAATTGCTTCCAATGTTTAGTTGCTTTAAATTCATTGCCGTATGCTTGTGAACACATATGGAATTTCATCCACAAGTTAATCTATGCGGATGGTAATTTCTTTCAACCTACTAATTGCCCAATAAGTGTTAGTAAATTCGTAGTGCAGCTAGGAAAAGTTTAATCTTTTTGAAATTAATCGTTTTAAATATTGTATACGATTGATTTTAAAATGGCTTTACTATAAAGTCTTTTAAAATTTTGTTAACAGACTCTTCAATACATAAATTTTAAATCTTGTTGTAATAATTGTTATATACATTTTATTCATATAATTTGAAAAATATATATTAATCAAACACGGAGTTTCAATTATTATATAATCAAATTATATCTTTTATATTACTCCTATATGGTGAACCTTCTCTTTCTCGTAAGATAGTTCAAGTGGTAATTACTTTTATCCATAATTTTCTTCAAAATATGTATATACCTTCTCTCGAAAGTGAAATTTCACAAATTTTAAGTCAAGAAAAGATCACTGAAACTTCTGCAGATGAAATAAAACAATGCTTTAAAAAATATGTTAATATGTTTGGAAGTGTGACTTCAAAGAAAAAACGGTTCAACATTTTGAAAGACAAAGGTTTAATAGATTTTGAAAAAGTTGCAATTGGAAGTACTTTCAAAGAGGATCTGGTTGGAAATCAAATGATCTTAAAAAAAAATTTATATGCATTTTGTGTTCCTTTGAGGAAAACCTTGAAACTGTTTCTAGAAATACCTGGTCTATTTCCTAAAATTATACAAAATATACAATCTCCTTATAAAGAAGAACGGGTTTTAAGGAGGATGGTGACTCAAATAAAAATGTTAAGAATTTTTTGAAATTTGGAAAAACTCGTTGTTAAGAATGTCTAAATTATAGAACAATTTTTTTTTTAATTTTTTACTGTCCCGTTTTTGAGAATTTAATTGTTGAAATTTCAGGTTTTTATATGGGCTCTTATGGGGAGTGTTATGTGAAGTGCACTATTTTGATAATAAATTGTGTAAAAAAGTTAAACTTTTTTTAAAAATCATACTCTTTTAAAGTTTAATACTTTTGGAATAATTTAAAAAAATAATTGAGTAAACCGACTGTCCTGATTTTTAGAAATAACATTAAAACTGACGTAAAATTACAGATTTTCTAACCTCTCTAAATCTTATTCAGTGTTACCAACACTGTTTCTAGCATGCATATGGAATGCGCTGTTGTCACGATCTCCATGCTCATAAAATATTTTTACAAAATTTTTTTTACTTAATTAAATAATTATTTTTTAAAATATTTTTTAAGAATAATGAATTGGAATTATTAAAAATACTATTTTTTATGTCTAATATATTAAGTATTGCATATTTCACTTATAAAATATATATTAAAACAGTTGGTATTTGCAGTTTTAATCCCATATAAAAGCATGTGAATTCCCCTCTCGCCGCCTGCCCCGAAAAGACAGTCATCATCCTCCTTAAGCAATATTGTTCAAGGTAATTTATGGAAACAAAGATATTCAATGCAACTTAATAATGAAATAATACTACCCCTTTTCTTGTTCTATGACGATCTAGAAGTAGGTAATGCATTAGGTAGCCATTCAGGTAAAAATATATTTAGCGCAGTTTATGCCTCCATTGCCTGTTTGCCCCAGTGCATTGCTTCTAAGTTAAATACAATATTCTTTTCAACTTTATTTTATGTCAAAGATAAAAAAACACGGAAAATTCGAAAGTTTTTGAACATTTGATTAAAGAAATTAATTTTCTTCGAGAGGTAGGAATTACAATTAATATAAATAATGTAATTCATACTGTCAAATTCCAACTCGTCCTAATTTTAGGCGATAATTTAGGTTTGAACAGCATATTAGGATTCACAGAGTCTTTTAAGGCAAACTTTGTTTGTAGATTTTGTAAAATCAATTCCGATAATTTACATATAAATAATATAGAAAAAAAGAGGATTTGACAACTGAAAAAAATTATGAAGAAGATGTTCTTGCAAAAAATGTATCCACCACTGGAATAAAGGAACTTTGTGCATTTCATGAGATAAAAAATTTTCATTTAACACAAAATTTAAGTGTTGATGTTATGCACAATCTTTTTGAAGGCGTATGTTTATATATAATGCATTCAATTATTTATATTTTTGTGTATAAATGTGAATATTTTACATTAGAGTTTTTAAATATTAGAATTCAGAATTTCAATTTATCTGACAATTCCAATAGGCCTCCAAAAATTTCAGTTTCATGTTTAAAAAATAAATTAAATTTAAAAATGTCAGCGTCTGAAATGCTTACTCTTGTTAGGTATTTTGGGTTAATTATTGGTGACAAAATTCCTACAGATGACAAATATTGGGAGTTATACAAATGCCTGCGACAGATTATTGATATTATAGTATCTCCGCGTATAATCAAATCGGATATTAATAATTTGAAATCACTTATAGAAAATCTTCTGAAAATGTATTTAAACCTATTCGGTTTTCTAAAACCTAAATTTCATAATCTCGTGCATTACTCTAGAATATTATTAGAGAATGGACCGTGCATTTATTTTTCGTCTATGAGATTTGAGGCATTTCATCGACAAATAAAATTGAATGCATTATCATCAAATAATAGGATTAATTTATTAAAAACTGTTGCTATTAAGCAGACATTTTACAATTGTCAAATTCTTCATTCTCTAGAATTTAGAGATCTAATTAATCTTGACACTTTTGACGAAACTGACTTAGAATACGAAAACTAAGATCTTCAAAGCGAAAATGAGTCTACTGCAAAAGTAAATGTAAATGGTATTTCTTATAAAATTGGAACTGTATTAGTCACAGATATAGCAGATAGTAAAAAAGAATTCGGAAAAATTGAAAGAATTTTCAATAAAGATAATTATACTTTTTTCGAGTTAAAATTTTTTAAAGAAATATCGTTTGATGAACACTTTCACGCATACGTAGTGACTAAGGCGAATGTCCAAAACAAATTTATAAAATGTGACAGTTTAATGTTTATAGATCCTTGTTTGTCTCTTATTCAAAATAAAGTTCATTTTATTGCTACGAAACATATTTTGTAAATGTATGTATGTATGTTATTGAAGTATGTGTGTGTAAAAATCATGTGTTTTTTGTGTTTGTAAGTCTTAATATGTACGGTATAATAACAAATTGACTACCATTGAAATGGATTATTGAAAAATAAATTTTTCTTCATACCTCGGTCGAAAGTACGTATTTCCCGCTGCGATTTCGCAGCAGAAAGTCAAACATTTGTGCTTTGGTTGATTTTCATACCCAACCTCTATTACAGCGGGAGTAAAAGAATTCTCTGTCGGTAAAAACACCACTGTCGGTAAATAAGAAAATTTTGAGTTCAATGACAATTTAACGAGTAATTGTTATCGCAATATAAAATGAGAAAAAAAATTATCAAGAAAAGTTTTTATACTTTATAAATTTATTATCCACAAGCTCTGAATATTGAAATGAACGAAATCTTTTGCTGATATAATTATTTTCAAAAATTATTTTAATAAACATTAAAAACAAAAATAAAATAATTAATAATTTTGTAATTTCTTTTTTAATACGTGCCAAAATGTTATTATAAAATTGTAATAATTTGAAGAAATAATGAAAGTGTTTTCATTAGAATGTTTAGAATTTTAGAAACATAGAATTAATTTTGTACCACCAGAAAAATTCTTTTGAAAATATAATATTAATTTATCTTTCACATTTTTTTTCGTGCCTGCCCCCGACCAGAAGCACTCGCTTCGCTCGTGCATCAAATGTCGGGGCAGGCGAATATTGTTTGCAAGAGTGAGACAGAGAAAAAACCAGAGCTTCACGAGTGTCCGCTAGAGGCGTTGAAGCGAGGAGCAAAAGTAAATAAAGATGGCCGGCTGTCAAATGAAACTCGATTGCAATTTTCTTAAAAAATAAATTACCCAGCGTACTTTCGACCGTATATAAAGAAAAATAGTATACATTACACGGGCAGAAATTCGAAAGCCCTAAACTACGCGATAATGCCCTCGGCTTCGCCTCGGGCATCATTTCGCGCAGTGCAGGAATTTCGAACTTTCTGCCCTTATAATGTAATATACTATATTTTTAACTAATTGACTAAATTTATGATATTTTATCTAATATTTCTATTTAAAATTTATCTGTTATTAACTTTAGCTAGACATTTTTACATTCTTTTATGTACAGAACAATATTTAAATGCCTCTCAGTTATACAACATTTTTTTACAAGATTTAAAAAATAATTTAAATTTTCTGATTAAAATAAATTTTGTTCAGTGTTGGGCAAAAATTTTTGACAGCTGCCCACTCACTATTTTGGCGCACTGCTCACTTTCACTTTTTGACAGTCACGCGACAAAATTTGGGAACGTAGCGCACCGAAACTAGTAGTTGCGCTGCAGTCTAACATGAAGTTCCGCCGCCGACCCAAAGGTCTCTCAGTGTATAATACTGTTCGACAGTACTGATTTTCCGTGTAACTTGTACTATTAGGAACTCCGGCATTTTACTGGCTCAGTACGTGCAATGCGGTAGTAAAACAGCTGCTATTATGACTGTTTTAAGGTTAAACTACTAATACAGTCGTTGATAAGTTGATATGATTACATCAAATTGAAATAATTTTACTTTAACTTTAATTTATTATTTAATAACATTCTATATTCAATTCTTTAAATATGTCAATGTTTTTCTAATCCCATCATAGTTTAGAATTTAGGTTATATGTAAATTTAATTCGGTAGAAAATCTTTACTACCTATTACCGTTTCCAAATATTATGATAAATTATTATTTAATAAATATACAAATTACAAAATAAATGGATTAACACGAATTCGCATGAAAAAAAGTAAAACAGAACTATTTATTCTAACACATTTCAAGTTCATGTGAATACATAATTATTGTTGTTAACTAATATCAAATTACAGACTAAATCCTTAAAAGTAAATTTTATTTCTTATTTCAAATTAAAATTCCAACTTCCTAATTTGTCTATTTCTAATTTTTCTTTCCAAATTTTAGATTTCGAAATTATATAGTGAATGTTTAGGGGTTATGTTTCTCCAGCGCAGCGTTGCTTTATTACTGGTCTACTACTGGTCGGAACAGAAAATCCGTACCATTACATTATTGATTTTCAGTCGTTCTGGTACAAAAGGTCCAATGCAAAAGATCCAAACCAAAAGATCCAAAAAATTAAAAATCCAAAAGGACAAAAACTCCAAACAAAAAAAATATTTTCTATTGTTTTTATTTTATTTTTTTTAATTTAAAAATTGCAAAAAAAATATATGTTCTATTGTTTTTATTTTGGTATGAAGTTGTTACAGAAGTAATCTGAATGTCATTAAATTTGTAGTCTGCATTTTTGAACATTACATATTCCAAATTTTTAGTTTATTTTTAAAATGGCTACTGCGAGTCAAAATTTAGAAGTTGAAGTAATAATGAAGGGTAGAGTTCGATATTTACATGTAAATGGTTTTTTATATACAAAACATTCAAGTGGCGTTGAAGGAAAAATTTATTGGCGATGTAGAAGTAAGGGTCAGTGCGGGGCAAGAGCAACTACAATTACTACCGGACATACATTGAATCTTGTTTCTGGAGGAGAAATGTTACAGGAAATGTACAACAATCCAAACGACGATAGTATTCGAGAAGCGTCACGAAGCATGTGCGCTTTGGCGTTTGTACGACCGGAAGATGTGCCTGCAGTTTTTGACTTGTTCTTGGATCAAGTACCGGAGGATTTTGTACCTATAGCGGAATACTTTGAGGTTAAAAATTAAATCTGAATTTTAAAAATTAAATTAAAGAAATATTTTATTTAATACATTGCAATTTTTCTTTAGGTGTGGTATATTCGTGGAAAACCTGCAAGAGGCAGAAGGAAAGCCGTTTCCGTTCGATATGCCCCTATATTATGGAATCATTATCAAGCTGTCAATCAAAGAATTTCAAGAACTAATAACGCGTCAGAGGGCTGGCATAACAGATTTCAAGTTGTTCTTGGTCGATATCATCCTAGTCTCTATGCTTTTCTAAATGAATTACAACAAGAACAGGGCGACACAGAATGCATGATTAATCAGCTCAATCTGGGTCAAAAAATACGAACACTACCTACAACGCACTTTCAAAAGATGGAGGAAAAAGTTATTAGTATTGTATCACAGTATCAAAATTACGTTGATGAAAATCGAGAAATAGATTACATTAAAGCGCTTGGACACCATTTGCATTTTTAAATAATTTTACATATTTTGGACAATTTGCAATTTTGGACTTTTTGTACTCTTGGATTTTTTGTACTTTGGATAAAAAAATTTTTGGACCTTATGGATTAGACCTTTCGTCTTGGATCTTTCGGATTGGATCTTTTGTACCCCAATCTTTTCAGTACTTAGCCCAAGCCAGAAGCGTTACCTGCCGATGTTGGACACGTAATAGGCCAATATGAAAGTCAATACTTGTTAAAATTTTTTCGTACTGAACCAGTAATGTGCCTATAGTCAATTTCTACCTGGGTGATTACATATGCTTAATACATCAGTGAATTGAATAGAACAAAAAATACAAATTAGAAAAATCTTAATAAGTAATTTTAGTTATAACTTGATTACTTTTTAATATTTAAAATGTTTTATGCAATTATATCATTAGAATTGTACTAAATATGGAAAATATGAAGCACTTTGCTATTAAATTTTATTTTTTATTGCATTGAAACATCCGGGTCCCTCGGACCCACCTTGTGCGCGCATTTCAAAAATCGAACTCGAGCCTGTGAGGGTTAATAGCAAAGAAATGGCGACTGTAAAAAAATCTCGCAAATCTGGTTGACATGATATCTCCAGCCAGAAGAGACAGAATCAAAAAATTCAAACGGCATATTAAAATATAGGTAAATGGTTACAGCCTGAACTCAAATAATAATTTTTAACCTGTTTTTTAAACAATTTTAGTTGCAAAAGAATGGTTAAAAAAGTAAAAAGTCCGCTATTTTGTTATTTTTCAATGAAAACTTTTTATTTTAGTTCAGGCTGTAACCACTTACCTATATTTTAATAATCCTTTTGAATTTTTTGATTCTGTCTGCTCTGACTGGAGATATCATGTCCACCAGATTTTCGAGATTTCTTCTACAGTTGCCATTTCTTTACTACTAACAACAAAAAATATAGAAAGAAATTTTTTATATTTTGTTTAATATATGTGTAATAACATGTAAAAATTGTAAAATGTTTAAATAAATTTCACTATAAAAAAATTCTTTAAAATACGTGCAAAACATCCAGACTACCCTCTTAAACCCATTTTGGGCAGGGGGGGAAGTCCGTTTTACAGAGAATGCCCTAAATTAATTAAAATATCAAATATTTTAAAAACAATCTTTTTGACATGTCGAAATTAGACTTCTTTGCTGTTTAGATGTTACATTTCACTTCATCATCAAATGATATGTTTTGTGTCCACAACTCAGCTAATATCTTTGTCAACTTTTCAGGACATTGAAAAAAAACAGAAAACAGTTAATACAACCTATCATTTATCAATCATGATCAGAATAGCAATAATCTGCTTACTAATTTCAATGACCAGAAGCCGAAAATGCGAGTTCAGTATTGAGGAGGTGAATGAATTAAAACAAGCTTTTGTTGATGCGGGTAAGCAAATGGAAATAGAATCTCGAGGTGGAAGGAAAAATGCGGCAATTGTCATAGGAACCGCAATGAGTGGAAAAAGTACACTAATTAATTACTTAATAGGCAATCAAATGGAAGGTTACAGAGGGTCTAGTCGATATGATCGAATAATAATAAGAAAATTTGACGTAAATTCTACAGGACCAGAAATTAGTAGTGGATTATTGCCAGTGACTAATATTCCCTCAAAATGGAACTCAAAAAGGACAGAATTACAGAATTTGACAATCTGGAATACTCCTGGATTTCAGGACATTAGAGGCCCACTTCAAGATTTAAAAAATTCTTTTTATCTGTACCGTTTGACAAGAAGAATGAAATCTGTAAAATTTATTTTAGTTGTTAACTTCTATGACATTGAAAGTGATATCAACGAAAATTTTATTAGTCTTTTAAATAATCTTGAAAAATTTTTCAATGGCAAGTTTAAAAATTTTTTTTCAAGTATATCAGTAATTTTCTCAAAAGCACCTTACAATTTTCGTGAATTTCCAATCCGTTATGAATACATAAACAACAAATTAAACAATTTATTATCACAATCAAGAACTGAATTTAATCTATCTAATGATTCAAAAGACTTTATACAACATGTAGTAAATCATAACAAGCAAGTTGCCTTCTTTAGGAACGCAGAAGTCATAGGTAAAGTGAATTCTTCTATCGATGAAAATATTATTCAAGCTATTAGAAACACCAGAAGCATAAACAAGAAATCTCTCCAGGATGTATCTTTCTCATTTTCAGCAGGAGCAGAAGTTTGCTTGCGTGATACCGAAGATTTATTGTTTCAAAATTCAGATATAAAAAAATTAAATGTTAGAATAAAGAAATTCTTCATTGAAAAGTCAAATTATTTGTTGAAAATCGGAAACCGTGACATAAATAAATTAAATGAATATAAAATCTATTTAAGTAAAATGGGCGAAAATATTAGTCCTGCTTTAAATAAAAATTCTGATATACAGGTTAAAATTCAAAGCTTGAAAGGAATTGATTATAGTTTGCAAAAATTAATTATGGAGCAAAATTATGCGAATAAAATAAAACTAATTAAATTTAGTGCTTTTATATTAAGATCAAGTAAAATATTAATATTAAATTACTTATTTGATGCTCTTCTCAATGTTGCACATGCAAAAATCAAGAAATTAATTCCATTATCTTTACTGCTGATGAAAAACATTACAACAAATACTTATGATAAAGTAATTACAGATGTGAACAAGTCGTCTCAAAGAAAAATTAGAGATTTATCAGAAAAAACACAAAACCTGGAAAAATCTGAAACAAAGAAAGGCTTTTGGGAATTTATTTTTCAACAATGTGCAGACGTTATTTAAGTTTCACCTGGGTTTTAAGCGGCAGCTCGGGGTGTGTCTGAATGATAAAATTTAATTTAGTTTTAAAATTGTCAATAAGTTCTACAAAATTATCAGACGGAGAAAAATAAATTAGACCTAACACAAAGCACATGTTAAACGAGCGTACTTTAACAATAATATGACTTGCACAAATAGATATCTTTGTTACCTGATATCTTTTAGGGTTAAATAAAAGCAAAAGGCCACCTTTTGCTCTTCCAAGAATTTTTGATTTAATCGCCGGTGAAACAATTGAAACAAAGTCAGAAAGCTGTTGGCACTTAAGGTCAGATTTAATAGACCACGTTTCACAAATATCACCCTTATTCACTTGATTAACGATGTCTGAAATATTCCTAACACCATGAACATTCTAAAAGATTATCCTCGCCTCCCCAGAATCTGTCTTAGTCTCAGCAGAAGAAGAAAAGGCTCTAGAATACCCCAGGGGCAAAGCTGAAGATCGCTGCTACAATTCTGATGAAGAATCCTCTTCCATTTAGGTGCGCTGTTTTGTGGCATTTCCATCCCCAGTCCTAGTCAAGACTCCAGGAGAAAAATAATTTTCCAGTGTCTTAGTAATCGGAGATTTTCCATTGCTCAAAAGCAAGTCTTTGTAAGAACGACCTTTTCTCTTAGTTAGCGTTGTAGTAGTCGAATCCGAGGAATGAGAAGCTCCAGGTGTAGCAGTTGACGCTGGTGGTCCTACAGAGTCTAACAGAGATTCCAATTTCTCTTTATTAATTATTAAATCGTTCAGATAAATTTTATTACCTCTAAGAGACACCTTATGACCAGCATCACGCAACTATATTTTTGAGTGTAGCTGAAGACGCATCTCCCTCTCCTCCTTCGATCGATCATTGATGATAATGTAATTTAATTTTTTGACTTTGTTGACTTTCGAAAAAACATTTCTCACCCATCTCTCCCCATTAAATTTAATCAATACCAGGCAATTTCCAGGAAATTTACCTAAGCGAAAGATCTCATCGAAAGCTGCATCAGGGATTATTAATCACACTTTTGTAAAAATATTTTAAACAGTTGTAAACAGATTATTACACTGTAAAAAATTTAGGGAGTTAACGGACACGGGAGTTGGGAGTGGAATTTTTTCAGTTAAAAATCAACTCCAAAAGAGAGTTAATTTACTAACTCCCTTCATCAACACCCGCGCGAGTTATTTTTTCCTTGGGGAGTTAGCATTTGGGTGTGAAGTTTTAACTCTCTTTATTTACTCCCTAATGGGTGCGACTTTTATAGAATCCCCTGGGGAGTTAAAATTTAACTCCTTTTTTTACAGTGTATTAATGATAACAGAGTCCTCCAATTTAAAAAGAACAATGTTTTCACGTCTCTGTTAATATTCAAATGAGGAAAGATTATTTTCAATCTTAGTTATAGTCGAAAACAACTTGTCCCATCTCTCTTCATCTTGGGTCATTTTCACAATTAGTAAACGACAAGGCCGTTGACAATGTAAACACCAGAGACAGTGATAGAAGTTTATCAACCAGAATCACAGATTACAGACAGGCGAAAATCATTCAAAAAGAAAATAAATGACCCGTTTGTCCATAAAACAAATTTAAATAAAATATCGAGTACGAAATTCCATAAACATATAGTTAGGTCCACTTGAAACAAACACATCACAGAAAAAACTTCACATTCTGCACTTATAAACAAAAACAGTAACAGTAAAATTTTATTTATTGCACTTTTCAACTTTTCACTTTCACAAGCAAACAACAACAAAAAATATTTTATCCTTATTAGGACAGATTGCTTTAACCACTTCAGCGGCATGGCGTTCCAATTGGCGTCGCGTGAGTAGGTGACAGAAGCGGCAAAAAATGCGAAAATGGCGTTCCAATTTAAACTTGATTTCTAAACTCTGTAAACAAATTAAGTTTACCAAACCAAATGTTTTTTATTATTTGATATTATGAATCTTAAATTGATTTTCAAAAATTCAAATAGGCGGATCCAATATTGTGAACTATTTTGGGTGAATATTGGAATGCCATTCGTAAAAAGTGTTAAAAATTGGCTACATTAAAACCTTTATAAAACCATTTAACACCTCCAAAAAATAATTTTTTTTGGTCTATTCATCTTCATTTATCTTAAATAATAAGAATATTCAATTTTGGCAAGTTTAACTTGACTACAGACTTTTAAAATCGAGTTCAAGTAGGAACGCCATTTTCGCATTTTGTGCCGCTTCTGCCACTTACTCATGGAACGCCAATTGGAACGCCATGCCGCCGAAGTGGTTAACATAAAAGCCGTAAAAAGTAAGTTCACAAGATATTTAATTAATTTTAAGAAGTTTAAAACAAACGTTTAGTAAACAGATAGCGAGCTGACATTCAAAAACGTCTGTATTCTCTGGGGACGCATGATTATTCCCCAAATGTCATTTTTCCGAAATGTCATTTTACGGAACTGCACTTTTGCGAATAGTCATTTTTGCGAAAAGCCAATTTTGCGAAATGTCACTTTTGCGAATTGTCATTTTTGCGAAAAGTCATTTTTACGAATTGCCATTTTTGCGAATTGTCATTTTTGAGAAATGTCATTTTTGCGAATCGCCATTTTTACGAATTGTCATTTTTGCAAATAGTCATTTTTGCGAAAAGTCATTTTTACGAATTGTCATTTTTGCGAAAATTCCTATAGTAAACTTGTATGCATATATAGATTCACTATAGGGATTTTCGCAAAAATGACAATTCGCAAAAATTACTTTTCGGAAATTTGACAATTCGTAAAAATGACAATTCGCAAAAATGACTTTTCGGAAAAATAACTTTTCGAAAAAATGACTATTCGCAAAAATGACAATTCGTAAAAATGTCAATTCGTAAAAATGGCGATTCGCAAAAGTGACAATTCGCAAAAATGACATTTCTCAAAAATGATGTAACGTACTGTAACGATGATGTCATATTCAAAATATTTCGAATTTCTATATTTTATACAAAAACATATTTTCAGGAAAATATCTAAACTGAGAGAAGATAGTTGTAAGCCTAAAAATCAATACTCTGAAATTTGGAGTTTTAATCTTAGAGTATACTATCTTCGTCTCCACACACAAATAGATATTTCTTGAAACTATGTTCTTTTAGTCTATACCGCTAAAAGGAAGATAAAATTCCTTTAAGATAAACCTTATTTTTTTACAACAGTCCCTTTTTACACAACTTCATCAAAATATGTTTTCATGAAAATAATATTACATTCTTTAAAAATATATTATGTTTGAATTTGAATAATGTTAATAAGATTCAAAATGTCAAATTAATTAATTATTATTATTAACAATAAAAATTATTTACAAAATAATTGTTTTTAACAAATTACAAATATTTCTAACTATATAAAATTGAAATAAATTAATTCATTAATTTTGATGTTTTGAATATTATAAACAAATAATTAACAATAAACAATTAACAACAATTAGAGTTAATTGTTAAACAGTTTAAATATTTAAAACCGAAATTATTAAATAACAATTTTGATTATTTGTTTTATTAATAAATAGAATGTTTAAACAAATTATCCATAGTTTATTGTTGGAGAAGCTGAAAAGGAGAAGAAAAGGAGGAGTAGTGTTGGGAGCAGGAAGGGTGTATTCATTGGCTTATGCTGATGACGTGGTGCTGATGGCGGATGACGAGGCGGCTATGAGGCTATTGATGGATGAGTTTGGAAAGTATGCAAGAGAGAAAGATTTTTTTTTTTTCTTAAATGACTTGAAGCTAGGCCAACTGTCAGAACACACACTCTTATATACCAACTACTTTTTGCGTTTCTACAGAACGACTTTTTGAGGTTAGGAGTACTCGCATTTGCCTGGACCACCCGTCAATGGGTTTTCTCGCCAGAGAAGAGGAAAACTGTAGAAAACCTCTCCTGAGTACAACCGGTTTATCGACAGCCGAGTTTTAACGGTGTGTACTGGACAATAATCGACAGTGCACATCATTATACCTCGACGTCAAACCTCCCGCTCAGATTATCTCACGTGCCGGAAAAATCCCAGGCTAACGGGCGCGAACCAAGTACCCTTGGTCCGCCCATCGAGCCAGGCATTTATCCGACCGAGCTAATCTGTCGGTATGAGAAAGATTTGTGTGTGAATGTGGAAAAAACGAAAGTAGTTAGATTTAGAAAGAGGAGAGGGGGGAAAAAGTATGATTGGAAAATGAATAAAAGGGAAGTAGAAGAGGTAGATGAGTTTTGTTATTTGGGTTTTTGGTTTGAATGGAATGGAACGCATGAATTGAATGTTAAAAGAAGGGTGGAAAGAGCGAGTAGAGTGATGGGGCAAGTATGGGGAATAGGAGAAAGAAGGTTTAAGGATAATTGGAAAAGGAGAGTGTGGTTGTTTGATGTACTGATTTGGTCAATAGTGAGTTATGGAGCGGAAGTGTGGGAATGGAAGGAATAAAAGAAAGTGGAAAGCATGCATGAAAGATTGTTGAGATGGGTGATGGGGGTGAGTATGTATTGTCCGGGGTATATGTTGAGAGAGGAGTTAGAGAAAGAGAAAATGGTTGTAAGACAGAGAAAGAGAGCATGGAGGTTTGAAGAGAAGTTGAGACAGGGAGGAGGAAGTGATTTGGCAAAAATGTGTTTAGAGAAAATAGAGGAAAGGGAGGCAAGGGGTGCAAAGGAAATGACGAGATGGGAGAAAATGAGAAGAAAAGTGAGAAAAGATAAGGGTCAAAATGGAATAGGGGTGGAGGGGGTAATGGAATTAAGGTGGAAAAAAGGGATAAAATCGGTGGGAGAAAATCGGGAAGTCAAGGTACAACAGGTGGTACCGGATGGTAAAGGGAGTGGGCATTCAGAAGTACCTGAGGAGAAGTTGGAAAGAGAGTAAATGGAAAAGTGTAATAAGGTTTAGAATGGGTGAGGGTATGAGTGAATGTAGATATTGGATGAATGAAGAGGAGAAACTGTGTAGAGTGTGTGCATTTGAACTGGAAG